CCCCGTCCACAGCAGTGTGGGCGAGGTCTCCGGCAAGGAGACACGGGGCCAGAGGTTGAGCTGATGCGCGGCGTACCGGACCGCAAACGGCCACAGGAAATGGGGGGCAGCCGCATGGATCATGGAGGTACGAGCGACCTCCATGACTAAGCCAATGCGGCGCTCAGCAACCCCATTCTTCTGTGGAGAGGCCGGAAGCATGAACGACTGGGTGATGCCGTGCTCCGCACAGTAGGCTGCCAAGAGGTCAGAGGAGAACTCACCACCTCTGTCAGAGTGGAGACGCAGGACAGGAAAGTCCCGCCGGAATCGCTCGCGGAGCTGGAGACGAACAGTGCGGATCCAAGGGATCAAAACATCAGGGACGTCCCCCTTGCTCTGCAAGGGGAAGACCGTGGTGTAACGCGTGTAGTCGTCGACGACCAGCAGGAAGTACCGCTCGCGGCCCTGCCCCTGGACGCGGGCTGGGCCCCACACGTCCAGGTGGAGCGTCTGCAGTGGAGCCTCTGTGGGAGGAAACGAGGAGGAGTGAGGAGCGGCGCGCTGCCGCCCCTCGACGCAAGGAATGCAGGGCGGCGCAGGCGAGGGAGGGAGGGCAGGCAGAGACCTGGGAAGACCAGAGACCAGGGAGCGAGAGTGCATGCTACGCAGGCGAGGCAAGGAGGGGTGACCAAGGCGGTGGTGCCACAGGAGAGTGTCGTGCGACAAAGCGCGACACTCGCAGGGGGCCGCCAGCTGACCAGACGTAGACGCAGACGCAGCTACCTGAGGGGACTCAGTAGTCAGTGTGTACAGACTCGAGCCAGGTGCACGGGTGAACGTGGCCAAGTGCCGGCCCGTCCTAGCACACGTGCAGTGAGTCACTCGCTGACTCGCAGGAGTGAACTGGTCAACCCCGTGATCCTGGAGGTCAGCTCCACTCACCAAGTTCGTAGAGAACGAGGGGAGGTAAAGACCTGACAGGAAGCCAGACGGGACGGCCGGACACGGCAGAACCGTGGAGTAGTGGGCAAGGACTGGACCCCCAGAGGGGTCCGCCAGGGAGACCGGAACTGGCCGACTGAGCGGCGTGAGTGTGGTGCAGTCGCGAAAGAAAGAGCGAGAAGCTCCTGAGTCAAGGGTGAAGGTGTGCAAGACCGCAGCAGGCGCAGTACCAGAAAGAGCAAACTCACCAGCACCTAGAGCAGCAGTCTCACCAGCACCTAGAGCAGGAGACGCACGAGCACCTAGAGCAGCAGCCTCACCAGTACCGAGAGCAGCAGGCGCTATACCAGGGTCAGGCGGGACGCACAGGTAACAGGCACGGTCGACACTAGTAGGCAATGCATACATGGCAGTGAGAATAGCATCATAGTCAAGTGCAAAGATATCTACCCTCTGTCCAAGCAGCTCCGGCCAGGTAGGGAGCTCAGCCTCGTCTCCAAACACGGTACGCCAGGCGTCGCTCAGACGGGCGAAGCAGCGGGACTGTGTGTGACCAAGCGTTCCGGAAGGCTGACCAGTCCTAACACCTGTGCGAATGACGTACGGGCAGCGAACGGTACGCGTAGACCTGCTACACTGAGTGTACCACTCCTGGAGCTGCCGGGGCGTAAGTGTCTCGCGAGGACGCCCCTGCAGCTGCAGCTGGCCACTGCTAGACGCTCCCAACTGACCAGCTCCAGGGCGACTGCTACGACGGCCACCTCGACAGCCCCAAACCCTATACCACTCATCAAGCTGCTGGGGCGTGAGAGACACGCAGGAACGATGCTGTAGCTGCATCTGGCCACCTGCTAATAGCAGGAGTAGTAGCAGTAGCGCGGGCAGGGCAGGCGCGACAGGCAGGCAGGCAAGCAGGCAGGCAGGCAGGCCGACAGGCAGGCAGGCAGGCAGGCAGGCAGGCAGACAAGCCGGCAGGCAGGCAGGCAGACAGGCCGGCAGGCAGGCAGGCAGACAGGCCGGCAGGCAGACAGGCAGGCAGGCAAGCAGGCAGGCAGGCAGGCCGGCAGGCAGGCAGGCAGGCAGGCAGACAGGCAGGCAGGCAGGCAGACAGGCAGGCCGGCAGGCAGGCAGGCAGGCAGGCAGACAGGCAGGCCTGCAGGCAGGCAGGCAGGTGCTCACCAAAGGCTGGAAGAGCAGGCGCTCGCCGGGCGAGCAGGGTCGGCGCTCGACGGGCGGCGGCCGAGTAGGCGCACGACAGTGGCGACGTCGGGGCCGCAACAACGGCTGCAGAGTAGGGCCGCGGCAGCTGCAGGGCGGGACCGCTTCAGCGGCAGTCGCAGGGTGGGGCCGCGTCAGCGGCAGGTCGGGGTCGCGGCAGCTGTAGGGCGGGGCCGCATCAGCGGCAGGTCGGGGCCGTGGCAGCTGCAGGGCGGGGCCGCATCAGCGGCAGGTCGGGGCCGAGGCAGAGGGCCGCGCGCGGCTCGGCGCGGGCTGCGCTGACAGCGCGCTGGGCTGCTGCAGGCCGCGCGCGGCCGCGCTAGGCAGTAGCGGGCCGCGCGCGGCTCGGCGCGGGCTGCTGCGGGCCGCGCGCGGGCCTCGCGAGGCCGTAGCAGGCCGCGCGCGGCTCGACGCGGGCTGCGTGGGCTCGGCGCGGGCTGCGCGCGGCAGCAGCGGGCTGCGCGCGGCTCGGTGCGGGCTGCGCGCGGCTGCAGCGGGCTGCGCGCGGCTCGGTGCGGGCTGCGCGCGGCTGCAGCGGGCTGCGTGGGCTCGGTGCGGGCTGCGCGCGGCTGCAGCGGGCTGCGCGCGGCTCGGTGCGGGCTGCGCGGGCTCGGTGCGGGCAGCGCGCGGCAGCAGCGGGCTGCGCGCGGCTCGGTGCGGGCTGCGCGCGGCTCGGTGCGGGCAGCGCGCGGCAGCAAGGGGCCTAACGGTCTGCAGGGGCTGTTCGCGGGCCTGAACGGTGTGTAGGGGCGGCGCGCGGGCCTTACGGGCCTCTAGAAGCAGCGCGCTGGCCTAGGGCAGCAGGAGGCAGCGCTAGGGCTGCTGGACGGCGCGCGTAGTGCAGCACGTCACAAGGCAAGGCAAGGCAGGCAGGTACGTGGGGTAGCGCGGTAACCGCAGCGGTAGGTGGGCCCGAAAAAAAAACGGTCCTACGGACCTTAGTGCTCTGAAACCATGTTAGAATCTAGCAGCAGGAATGAATGAACTAACAGGATGCAGGAGTACAAGTAGTAAACCCTAATTGGGTTGTACCCCATATGGGCTACCCCACTACAGCCTAGACAATATGCAGTACATATAGTTTGACAGGGGTCACTATTTTTGCTGCTGGCTTTAAAACCAACCTGTCCGGATTCATGTTTTTGACGCATTTTTTGCGGGTGATGGAGAGACCTTGCTTTTTGGTTTGAGCGTGATGGTGACGGCTGGCCAAGCAGGACGCCTCCTTACCATATTCTTAGTGGTGATTGTCAGATTGCACGCGACGACGTCGAAAACATCGGGTGGTATAAATCACGCTGCGCGATCCTCTCTGAAGAGTTATTGTACCAATCAACATACAGTTCTAGGTTGAATCGCGCTCACCTTACGCAGTATTTGCCTTGCCTATCAGTCAGGCGTAGAACCCACCTGATCTGTTCAAACCCGAGAATTCGCCGTTTCTCCCCAATTCAGACTCACATTCACCTTATACGTCCGAATCAGTTTTCAACTCGCTATCATTCTTCGACAGCGCAGCTGCACGAGAAAGGCGGGATGTGTTGAAGAGATCGTTTTGAGGAGTTTATTGAAGAATCTTTAATCTCGATCCTTCCGTCAGAAGAACCTCACTTTTCAGTACGTGGCCCTTCCTGCTAGTCTGCTGCGAGGATGCTATCATTCCACGAGGAGGTGGTAGCTTAGCTGCACGAGGAGGGCGAGCTGTGCTGAACGCCTGGATAGCTAGTAGATGCTTAAAAAACCACACTAGTCCTTTTTTTCTCAGTCCGAATGTTGTCCTTCCACGAGGAGGTGGTGGCCCAGCTGCACGAGGAGGGCGGGCTGTGCTGAAGAGCTTGCTTAGATAGATATTAGAACGTTAAGGGAGCTAGTTTCCCGTTCATCTCAGTCTGATCTGCCGCCATGCTCTCATTCCACGAGGAGGTGGTGGCGCAGCTGCACGAGGAGGGCGGGCTGGCGGTCCTGGGGGCGGGGCTGGGGCTGCACAAGGTGCTCGCGCTGCTCCTCTGCTACCACCACATCACCAACACCGCCTGCTCGCGCAGCATCGGGATCATCGGCAGCAGCAGTAGCGGCGGCGGTGGCAGCAGTAGCGGCAGCGGCAGGAGTGGCCGCTTGGGTGGTTATAACGGGCGGTTGATGTTTGTGATTGGAATGACGGAGGAGCAGAAGCAGGCAGTGCAGGAGGAGCTTGAGGCGCTGAATAGAGCTTCCGCCCTTGCAGCTGCTCCCTTTGAGAATTCTAAAAAAGTTCCTTCCCGGGCATCAGCAGGATCAGGGTCAGCAGCAGCACCAGCAGCAGCAGCAGCCGCAGCAGCAGCAGCAGTGGTGGCTGTAGCGTCAGCAAGGGTAGCAGCTGCTGCTGTAGCAGCACCATCAGCAGAGGGAGACGAGGCTGCAAAGGTGTCACCTGCAGTGGCATCCAACGGACCCGAGGCAGAAGCACCCCTGTCGACCGCACAGCACCGCACTGCACTCCCGTGTGTGCTAGAGGAGGTGAACAGCAGCATGTCGAGTGCTGACAGGGTGGCGGCGTACCGCCAGCACGCCCTTTGAGCTGCACGATGACAGCTACGTGCTGCGTGCCATGGGCCTCTGCTACATGAAACCTTAATTTCCTTTCTCTCCCCCCGTCCCCGTCCTCTCCTCTACCAGGACACACTTCGAGCTTCACAATGACAGCTACGTGCTCCGGGCCTCTACACGCCTCCCCTCATTCAAGGGCCAACTCTTATACTCTCTTTCTTGTTCCTATCACGCCCTCTCCTCTGCCCCTTCTCTCCTCTACCAGAACGCCCTTCGAGCTTCATGACGACAGCTACGTGCTACGGGCCATGGGCCTCTGCACGCCATTATCAATGTGCCTACTCTCAACCTCTCCCTTTCCAACCCCTATCTCTCCCTCTTCTCCGCCCCCTCCCTTCTCTACCAGCACCTCCTTTGAGCTGCACGACGACAGTTACGTGCTGCGAGCCATGGGTCTCTGCACGCTTCCCCTCACTGATGTCTTCCCGCCCTCCCCGGCTCCTGCTCCTGGTGCTGCTGCTGCGCCTCCTCTTGCCTCCACACCCGCTCCTCCACCGCCCACACAGTCACAGCAACCTTCTCAGCAGCCGCCACAGCAGCAGCAGCAGCAGCAGCAACAACAACAACAACAACAACAACAACAACAACAACAACAACAACAACAACAACAACAACAACAACAACAACAACAACAACAACAACAACAACAACAACAACAACAACAACAACAACAACAACAACAACAACAACAACAACAACAACAACAGCAGCAGCAGCAGCAGCAGGCATCAACGGGAGAGGGCGCACTGACAAACACACAGGCTGGCACACAGGCACAGCAGCAACAGGGGCAGCAGCAACAGGGGCAGCAACAGGGGCAGCAGCAGGGGCAGCAGCAGGGGCATGGAGTGGGCAGGCACAGAACGCACCAGCAAGCACACTCTCTCGCACAGATCCAGGGACGGCAGCCCCTACAAATGGGGGACCAAACACGAACATTGCAGCTCCCACGAACGGGGCACCACCGCCCACAACAAGTAATGGACCGCCCATGGGTGGCACTGCAGGTGCCGATGGTGTGGGGAGCAGGGTGGCAGCAGCGGCAGCAGGAGGAGGAGGAGGCCGGGGGGTCAGCCTGGGAGAGCAGAGCGGGTCATCTATTCTCCTCCTCCCCAGCAGCAGCAGCAGCAGTACCAGCCGTCAGTGTAGGTCCCAGCTCAGGCTATGGGTGCATCTGCAGTTACGTCAGGCCAAATGGCACCTCAGTTCCAAACACAAGGATATCCGGCTGTGCTCCTGCCACAGCAGCAGCAGCTGCAACAGCACATGCAGCAGCAGGTGCAGCAGCAGCAGCCACAGCAAGGGATGGTGGGGGGTGCGCCTCAGATGCAAATGGCGGGAGGGGGGGTTATGGGTGGGGTTGGTCATGGTTACCAAGCAGGGGGTGCAGGTGCAGGGGTGGTGCCAATGCAGGGGCAAATACTGGGTATGGGGCAGCAGCAGGTGCAGCCGCAGTATTATCAGCCGCCGCAGCAGCAGGCGCAACAGTATCAACAGCAGCAGCAACAGTACCAGCAGAAGTCGCAGCAACCATATCAGCAGCAGCAGCAGCAGCAGCAGCAGCAGCAGCAGCAGCAGCAGCAGCAGCAGCAGCAGCAGCAGCAGCAGCAGCAGTATCAGCAACAGCAGGGCACACCATACGTTGGCATGCAGCCTATGATGCAACCCCAGCAGCAGCTGCCACAACAGCAACAGCTGCAACAGCAGCAGCCCTACCAGCAGCAACAGTACCAGCACCAGCAATACCAGCAACAGCAGCACCAGCAGTATCAGCAGCAGCAGGGACAGGCTTTGCCAATGGCAGCAGCAACAGGATCACCACCAGCAGCAATGCAGCAGCAGCCACAGCAAGGGGGTTCCTCTCAGAATTACCCCATCACCATGCAGGGAAACCCTGCGTTTACCCCAGTACCACCCACTTCTAGTGTCACCCCTCCCCCTGCCCCTGGCAGTAGTATGGGTGCTGCTGATACCATGGTGCAAAACCCTGAGGGATGGAGGGGTCAGGGCAAGGTGTGGCACTGGGGGAGATGCAGCAGAGTCAGGGCGGGGAGTATGGGCAGGGGCAGGGGCAAGGGGGCATGGCAGGAGAGGCAATTGGGAATGGGGGGGTTGCTGGGTCGGGTGCAGGCGAGCACATGCAAGGGGGGTACTAGGGAATGGGGTCTGTTCTGCAGGGCTCGAAGGTTGGGTGTCAGATGCAGTTGGGCCAGGGGTGAGCAATCACATGCAAGGGGACGTTATTATGGCCGAGGCAACACTTACGCATATGATGTACTGTACCAGATATGGTTTGTTGGGCGTGGTGGATCGGTATTCAGCAACTAGATTTAGGCACAATCAGCTGACACTGGCAATGGTGGTGGGGGCTAACACAGGTGCGCTGTTAGATATTTGATGTCAGTTCAGGAGCATGCGAAGGCGCTATTTACGGCACAGATACTAGCCACTGATAACGTTGTAGTGTGCTGTAGCCACCGCTGTGTGTTTCTGCTGTGTGCTGTGCTGACAGATGGGAGATGAATTGACCCATAAATTCATTTCTTGAGTTCACATAATTGGGACCTTTGTTTTTAAATGGCTATAAATATCTTTCCTGCGCCGCATTATTAGTTTTGACAAGATGCATAAAGTCGTTTCAGTCTAAAGCGCACCATCGATTTTCTCATCCCTGCTTTCGTTCTATTGATTCTCCAGGCAGACTTCAGTCAGCGTTGGCTTCAGCATCCGCTGTTTACCTCACTCCGATGTGTCCAGCATCCCGAAGTTCCCTGCGTTAGTGCGTAGCCTCGGTTTTAGGTTCGGCGTATCGGACTGGTTGCCTCAAGTCTCGGCCCCCCCCATACCTAACTGTTCTTCCCGCCTTCGGAATTTCGAGCCGCACTCGGTACTCCCGATTGCGGCGGATCTTTGACACACCACGCACCGTACAGAACCCCTCTCCTTCGCTCAGGCAGTCGAGAGGCCGCATCGAGTTGTCGGGAGTGGTCTGGACAGCCATGCGACGCTTTAGGCAATCTGGCGACGTCGCCACGAGCAGCGATTGCCGCGGATCCCACAGGCGATGCGGATTCGCTCAGCAGTGCCATTGTTGTCTCACACCCTTGGCGATTCCGAGCCTCACACCTGCGGCGATACCGAACCTCACACCCTCGGCGATTCCGAGCCTAACACCCCCTCCGTGACTTCCGTCGCAGCCCCGTCCATGTTTCAGGCACACCCAACATTCCGTCCCTTCCTTAGAGTCCCAGCAGCCACTGATGCACAGCAAAACAACTACATAGCAAGCAGGGGTTCGTATTCTCATTCACCAGTCTGCACTGATCCAGTTGCTGCGAATTTTTATAATCAGCCTTCGACTTCCTGCTGTCGTCTGGCCGTGGTTACTTACTGTCTGAAACTGCTCTAGTGCTCCCTGAAAGCCCTTCGATCTCTACACTAAAGCCAGTCCGTTTCCGCTACTTCGTTCGTAAACGAAATGGCCTGCGTCGGTGCTGTGAGTGCCTGCGCGGACGTTGACGCGCTCTTCTCGAGCCACTGGGAGCAAAATGACTCCCTGACTCGCTTCGTCTGCAGACTGGTCTCCCTTCCATGCCTGGTAAGAACAATGTCTACCTTCTCCTTTCCGCTTCTGTGTGTATTATCACGCCGACGCCTCCATCTTGTCACAGATTATCTTCATACCTTGAGCAGAAACTAATGTCGCTCACTTGAAACTTTGCAGGTCGACTTCAAGTGGACCAGCTCATGCTATCAAGTTGCAACGAAGGCTGTTCTTGCCGTGGTTGAGGCTCCTGCTGTCAAGGATGAGGTCCCTTCTTCTCCTGTGGAGGTCCCTGCTGTCGCTGTGTTGGTCCCTGCTGTCCCTGAGGTTCCTGCTGTCCCTGAGGTTCCGGCTGTCCCTGAGGTTCCTGCTGTCCCTGAGGTTCCTGCTGTCCCTGTGGAGGTTCTTGCTGACTCTGAGGTGGTTCCGGCTGTCCCTGTGGAGGTTCCTGCGGACCTGGTCGAAGCTGCTGCGTGCTCAGCTGGAACCGCTGCCCTGTCAACTGAGGTCGTCCCTCCTTTCTCGGCTGCTACACCTCGCTCCTCGGCTGAAGCAGTGTTCAGGTCGACTGAGAGCTCGATCTACTCAATTGAAAAGGCGTGGTGGTTGGCTGTTCTGGAACCAGAGGAGGTGGCTTCTTCGTTCCTGGTTGCAGAGACATACCAGGATGCGATGATGGGTACAAAGTCACTGAAAGGTGCGATGGTGGGTGCAGAGGCGAGCAGCAGGCGATGCAGCTTGAATCGGAATGAGAGTGCGTGTCTCATCGACCTCACCTGGGATACCTGCTCCTCCTCTTCTAATAGCCTCTGCAGTACACAGACGGACTTGCTCACAGAGGCAGCCAGTAGTAAGAGGGGGATTGGCCGGGGCAACAGCAGCACTGGAAAGGGCTGGAATTTGGAGGCGAAAGGGCTTGGGAAGGCTGAGGAAATGGTTGCTTTCTCGAACCAGCTCTTTGGGGATGATGAGGAGGATAACGAAGATGACATCAGGGGAGGTGGCTACACGGTCTATGGGAAAGGGAGTGTGTGCTACATGAATCAACTGTACATGGATGAGGAGGATGAGGAGGAGAGTAGGTCACTGGCAGCAGCAGGGATTTCTGTTGGCATCGGGAGATTCGGTGGACGGCGGAGAATAACGGGTTCGAACAGCCGTGTTGCTCTCCGTAGGATGAGCAGCGTACTGAGACAGATGTAGGTAGACATCCTGCCTGAATTCTGTTAGCCGTTGTGGCTGTAACCAGAGTAACTGGACTGCCACAAAGAATTGAATCTTGTAAATTATTATTAGGCAATAATTTCATTACTTTCTGAAGTTCTTGCATACATTGCCCTCACAGCTCATTCCAATCCTATGCAAGAGGCGTCTGTACTGCAGTCTCCATGTCCAGATTTGCAAGAGTGTCCGGCGTGCTGTTCTTTATGGCCGAACCCTTCCTGGTGTCTGTTGTTAATTTTCACTAGTGTATCTTCAGAATCCTTCAACCATACAAGGCATGTTTAGTGTACAGAACAAAACACTCTTACCACATACACCTCATGTGACAACAAACTCCTACCTTGCGAGGGGTTTCCACTAGCAACACATCTCATGAGAACAGCACGCAACGCAGTGAAGTCGGTGCATGTGGTTGGAACACCACAGCATGATCGATCTCACAGGCAACAAGCAGGTAATTTTATCCGAATGTGAAGAAAACCAGTGGCACATCATCTCCTCCCATCCCCAGAATGCCAACTGTCAGCAGCGCAGTGCACTACACCAGGCAGGTAACGACCTATCCTAACAGATGAAGACGATGGGACGTACATCCTCCCCTCTTCATCCTCACACACCACAGCACCATGTCAAAGTGGCAAAGGTACGGCGGCATGGAGTGGCATTGTCAGAGGCAGAGGTCGAAGCACGTGTTAAGGTCTATCGGAACTTGATGGAGATGATGGGTACATCCACATCCTTCCCCTCCTCATCCTCGCACGCCACCACCATGTCAAAGTGGGCATGACGTGGCGCAACGTGGCGAGGCAGACGAATCGCCCTATCGGAACTTGATAGAAATGATGGGTACATCAACGTCCTCCCCCTCCTCGTCCTCGCACGCAACCACCACGTCAAAGTGGCGCCGGTATGCCGGCACCTCCAGCTTCGCCACCTCCTTGGCGATTTCCAGCACCTTGCGGGGTAGGCGCTCCTTGTGCCGCGGGAAGAGGGAATTGTAGAGCAGGGCTTGGCCGCAGGAAATGCTGTTCAGGGAGGTGAGAGAGAAGACATCCAGGGAAGGCACGGAAAGGAGACGTGTTGGGGTACATCCAGCTTTGCTACCTCCTTCACAATGTCCAGCACCTTGTGAGGCAGGCGCTCCTTGTGATGTGGGAAGAGCGAGTTGAAAAGCAGGGCTTGGCCGCCGCAAATGCTGTTTCACCCCAACTCTCTCCACCCCTTCCCACCGTCTCACCTGTACGCGTCGAGCCCCTTGGCCTTGAACCAGTCGAGCAGCTCCTGCATTGTCACGTCGCCCTCCACGGTCCACCGGTCCGTCTTAACACAAAAACACACCCACACCTCTGCACTCCTTTCCACCGCTTTCAACCAATGCTCACCTGTACGCATCGAGCCCCTTGGCCGAGAACCAGTCCAGCAGCTCCTGCATCGTCACGTCGCCCTCCACGGTCCACCAGTCCCACACGGTCCACGCCAGCTCCCCGTGCTTCACACATACACATGCCACTTCCCACCCCTTCAGACCCATCCGCCTCACCTGTACGCATCCAACCCCTTGGCCGAGAACCAATCCAGCAGCTCCTGCATCGTCACATCGCCCTCCACCGTCCACCAATCTGTCTTACCACAAGCACACACCCACACCCCTGCACTCCTCTCCACCGCTTTCAACTCATGCCCACCTGTACGCATCCAACCCCTTGGCCGAGAACCAGTCCAGCAGCTCCTGCATCGTGACGTCGCCCTCCACCGTCCACTGGTCTGCCATAAACGCACCCACACCTGCACCCCTCTCCACCCCTTCCCTTCCCTTGCCAACCCTGTCCACCCCTACCCAACTCTTTCCACCGCTTCTCACCGTCTCACCTGTACGCATCCAGTCCCTTGGCCTTGAACCAATCCAGCAGCTCCTGCATCGTGACATCGCCCTCCACGGTCCACCATTTTTCCTTAACACAGACACACACCCACACCCCTGCACTCCTTTCCACCGCTTTCAACCCATGCCCACCTGTACGCATCGAGCCCCTTGGCCGAGAACCAATCAAGGAGCTCCTGCATCGTGACATCGCCCTCCACTGTCCACCGGTCCCACACGGTCCACGTCAGCTCCCCGTGCTTGACGCTCTTGGGCGGCACGGGCTCAGCCATGGAGAAAAGAGGGAGAGCCAGGTTGGCGAAGGTGTTGCGGAGCGCAGAGGCCTTGGCGTTCTGAAGGACCTTGTAAAGCTCCAGACACACGAGGCCTGGGAGATAAGAGATGGGAAGTGGTGGACACAAGGGGGCACGGGCTCAGCCATGGAGAAGAGCGGCAGAGCGAGGTTGGCAAAGGTGTTGCGCAGCGCAGAGGCCTTGGCGTTTTGCAGGACCTTGTAAAGCTCCAGACACACGAGGCCTGGGAAATAAGAGATTGGAAGTGGTGGACACAAGGGGGCACGGGCTCAGCCATGGAGAAGAGCGGGAGCGCGAGGTTGGCGAAGGTGTTGCGCAGGGCAGAGGCCTTGGCGCCCTGCAGGACCTTGTAAAGCTCAAGGCAGACCAGGCCTGCCAAAAGAGGTGGAGAGGAGGGGAGACATGGAGAAGAGTGGCAGAGCAAGGTTGGCAAACGTGTTGCGCAGTGCAGAGGCCTTGGCGCCCTGCAGCACCTTGTAAAGCTCCAGACACACGAGGCCTGGGATGGAAAAGGGGGAGTGGAGAGGGGAGAGGCAGAGGGATGCAGGGATGAGGGGCAGAGAGAGATCAGCTCCCTGTGCTTGACGCCCAACACGGGCTCAGCCAGGGAGAAGAGTGCCAGGGAGAGGTTGGGAAAGGTGTTACGGAGAGCAGACCGCCTTGGCGTTCTGCAGCACCTTGTAGAGCTCAAGGCACACGAGGCGTGGGACAGGAGGCGGAGAGTATCGGATGAAGTGCGAGATGGGAAGCCAGGGAGAAGAGCGGCAGGGCGAGGTTGGCGAAGGTGTTGCGGAGGGCAGAGGCCTTGGCACCCTGCAGCACCTTGTGGCATTCTCCACCCTATCCCACCCACTCCCACCGCATCCCACTCCCGCTCATACCAGTACCCAAAGCTGTGGTGGTAGCAATAGCGGGGATAATCCTCCCGGCGATGAACTTGGCCTAGAGCTTGCCCACCTGACCTCTCTCTCCTCAATGCACACCTCCCTTCACAACAGGAGCCCAACCCACGTCCCTTCCCTCACCAGTAGCAAGTGCTGTCGTGGTGGCAATAGCAGGAATGATCCTCCCAGCGATGAACTTGGCCTTCAGCTTATCCACCTCGCCAATGGTATAGTTGCGCGCGCGGAGGTTAGCAAGGGCAGCCATCAGATCCATATGATAATTGGTGTCGTCGTCCTGAGGAGGGGAAGGGCAGCGGTCGGGCGGGATAGGGAAGGAGATACACTTGGCTTTCAGCTTGTCCTCCTCGCCAATCGTGTAGTTGCGCGTGCGCAGGTTGGCGAGAGCTGCCATGAGGTCCATGTGGTGGTTGTTGTCGTCATCCTGTGGAGGGGGAGAGGGGTGCAAAGGGGTTGAGAGGTCTGTAATCCGGGGGCCTTCAGGGCGCGCAGGTTGGCGAGCGCAGCCATGAGGTCCATGTGGTAGTTGGAGTCGTCGTCCTGTGGAGAGAGAGAGAGGAGGAGGGAGCGTGTGAATGGGGTGTGACAGTGCAGCTGCTTGCGCGCACGCTGGTTAGCCAAAGCTGCCATGAGGTCCATGTGGTAGTTGGAGTCGTCGTCCTGTGAAGAGAGAAAGGGGAGGGGGGGTGGGGTTCAAAACAGGGGTGTGTGAGTCGAAGTTGAGGGGCTTTTTAAGCGAAGGGGTGTGCGGGAGTTGAGAGCGGTGTGAGTTGAAGGGCCTTGCGGGCGAGCAGGTTGGTCAATGCTGCCATCAGATCCATGTGGTAGTTGGTGTCATCGTCCTGAGGATGGGAAGAGGGGGAGAATGTGGAAAGGGGGTGTGTGACGGATGACCATGAGGGCTAATTGGCTAGAGCAGCCATCAGACCCATGAGGTAGTTGGTGTCATCGTCCTGCAGAGGAAGGGAACGAGAAAATATGGGACGGGGGTATGTGACGGCTGATCAGGCAAAGCAGCCATGGGACCCATGCGCTGGCTGGTCTGCGCCAAAGCCCTGTGGATGGAGGAAGCGCGACAGAGAGGGGGGGTTGGTGGAGGGGAAAAAGGGTTGCCTGGGGGGGGAGCACTGCAGCCTCTGTGACTGCTTGCGAGGGGCTCTCGAACGCAGACAGGTGGGCTGCAGAGGTCTTACTTCCATCAACTTGTATGGTTATTAAAACGACGAGGAAAAGGGTTGCCTGGGGGGGGAGCACTGCAGCCTGTGACTGCTTGCGAGGGGCAGGTCGGCAAAATGGAGGGTAAGCGATTTCCGCGGGGAATCTCTCGCTGCTGTCCTTGAGCCGCCCCACCAGGCTTGCTAGTACTGCGTTGTTGAAACAGTTGAGTTCAGACTGATTATCAGCCGCTCTCTTCCACACCCCCCCTCACCTTGTCAATCTGCCCTGGCAGTGTGTGAATCTCCATCCAAAGGTTCTTGCAGCCATCCTTGCTGGCACTGTGTGGATCTCCTTCTTAGGGCCCTTGCTGCCCTGCTTGAGCCGCCCCACTGGGTTTGCCACCACATTCTTGTTGAAACACGAGGAACAAGATTGATATAAACCGCTTACCACCTCTTCTTACTCCTTCTCACCTTCTCAAACTGCACTGGCACCATGCGGAACTCCTCGGAAAGCCCCTTGGTGCCCTCCTTGAGCCGCCCCACCAGCTCAGCGATTGCCTTGCCATCGTCCCCCACTGACGTGGCAGCACTGGTGGCCTTCTCATCTGTCACGATTTTCACACCCTGTGAGGCAGCGGTGGGGAGGGGTGGAAAGGGATGAGGAAGTGGTGGGGATTGGTGTAAGGGATTGCGTTGCCATCGTCCTCCACTGACGTCGCAGCACTGGTGGCCTCATCAGTCA